TTTTAGAAATTTTAGCTTTAGCTGTGAATTTGTTTTTGTCTTTTGTTGGGATTCTTCAAGCTCAGTTTTGTAGGGAGACTCTGTGAAAATCGCCGTTTTTCCTTTTTTTCACGATTACCTTTTTTTTTAGTTGTATTTATCAGAGGAAGCGGAATTATATCTTCGGGGCTAACTAAACCAAAATTAGTGTCACTTCTTGAAGTTCCTGGTTGTGGTTCGATCTCTGGTGTTACTTCTCTTACTCTCTTCCCAACTAACAATTATCACTCCTATTAGAGTTGCAAGAATGATTATACAGTATTCCTTAAACAGCATTGTATACTGTAAGAACATTGGCAACACCCTCTCAGAACAGCTATACAAGCGGAATGGGCACACCTAATAGGAAACTTCAGTCATTTAAGAGGTTAAATAAGGGCTGCAGGTAACAGTTATAAAACAAAAGTGTAAGCCTCTTGCAGCCGCTATAGGACATTTGCGTCAGTGCAAGATTCAGTTTTTGTCAACTATACAACTATTCTGTTACGTGATTCTACATTATTGCAACCAAACTATTTCTTATGTATTGTATAGACGAAATGAAGAATATATAACTAACACATTACTATCATCTTGTTTACTTACATATCGGCCATTGTGAATTTCATACACAGGTATATGATAAACTTCTACACTGTGATATAGGGCTATTGAATTACTTGCGCATTGTGATTATCGTGCAAATTAGTTACCCAATTTCTACGGGCTTCGTATTTGATTCATATTTTGACAATGATCAAAAGTATGTCTAGATTTTTAAGATGGAAAACTGAACTTATCTGCGTTAAATCTTCCACAAATCCTATATTTAGACACAATTACACTAATGTTTATCACTTTATATCTGTAATTTCGAACTGAAACATAATTATTTAATATTAAATAGAGGAATAAATGTTTGCCCATTATGGCGGGTGGTTGTGTACGATCATGGCATCGTCCATGTTGTCTTTAGGTTATTAGAATATTTTGGTCTTGCCTGCAGGTGTTATATAACAATTTGACAAATGTCTGAAATGAAATACCGACAGAGCCGAATGATTTACCCAGAATTTGTACCAGATCTATATCTTCTGTTTGAACAGTTGATAAAACCTTTTGAACCAATATGCATGCGTTGTTTGTCTTAAAACATTGATTATGGCATTTTAGCATTTTACAAAAATATGACAGCAGAAAGTTAGGTTATGGTGAAGTTGTTTACCAACATATTTAGCATATGTACAGCCTTTAACAGTTACTAAACAACAGTTGTATAAGTGCTTCCGTTGGGAGCAATTTGTTGGCTAAAGTAGAAAATTGCACAGCAAAACAACAAGGCTCGGGTTTGTTTTATAAACGTTACCATGGATGCCACAACACAACCATTTCGCCTAACGTGCAAATATGCAGTATAAAATAGTTATAAACGTTTATGCAACAGTTAAAAATTTCCCTATAAGGTGTTGTATAACTATGCTATAAGAATATTTCAAACACTTCATTTTAGAGCAAATATGTTGCAGAAAGCAAATCTGCATTCCACACAACATTAAGTCAGCTTTTATGGCTGAACGGTTCTTTTACCAAAAGCTTATACCACTACTTTGCTAGTTGGGTTGTTATCATAATTGCTGTTTTCGGGTTCTGTTTCGACTGTCTCATCGGTGGTACTGGGTTTTATCTGCAAATCAGTTGTAGCTGACGGCAGAAAATCCACATCGGTAAAAACGTTTCTGTCAACAGGCCAAACACCTGTTTTTTTGAACCCATTGATAGGCATAGTAGCTGCTCGTAGATAAGCAGCGCTGAACAAAGCTGTAACTTGATCGAACGTTACCACTCTTCCTGGGTTACTCCGAAGCCATACTCTTTTTTTTATACTCCAACTACCACGAAGGTCTAAACACCCATTGGGTACCGTGGGGCTATAGGGGGATACAGGGGAAAGGGGACTCGAATATCAGCCGATGTGTACAGTGAGGCGGAAAGCAAAGAAGTATGACGCCGTTTTCCCTAGCAGTTTTCACAGGTTTTCAGTTGCTTATCTGCATCACTCAAGTCGGTGTCTCTTGTACGAGTATATCAATGAGTCATAAGTACTACTTCACGAAATATTCAGAGAACCACCATAGAGTTAGAAAAACAAATTAAAGGTAGGGCGAAATGGGTGGCACATTTAAGGATCATAAAATTCAGAAAAATATATGTGTAGATATAAAAACAGAACGCTAAAGAGGTACGTAGTCCTAATAAAAAAATATTGTTAAAATATATAAATATACTGCTGTAGCGGTGTGTCAGTGACGACAGCACCGCAGATTCACCAGACGAAGTTTGTTATCCATTGCACAGTGACAGTGGCCTCCACCACGTTGCAGCTTCGCGCCGTGCACGCAACGCCGATTGCAAATTATTTAGAATTATGAGTACATTATACACCGGACTTGTATTATTCAAATTTCCCGTTGTTACTGGGACCAGAAGCTTCTTAGTGATATAACGTCTTTGACTTATATTAAAGACGTAACATTTACAACCCCCATCAGTCCATTGTTGCAGTAGAAGCACATGCACACTGCACCTGCAATAGAAAAAGATACATTGTAAAAGGTGCCGAAAAGCTAGCGTGAAGAAGTAGGTCTTTGCATTGTTTTTAAATATGACAATTTTCTTTTCTTATATAATCTCTACTAATATTATACGAGGGCGGTCCGACAAGTACTTAGCCTACATAAGAAAAACGAAAATTTTGGAAAAATGGCGATTTATTTCTCAACATAAGTTTCCTTTTAGCTCGAAACACTTGACCCGGCGATGCTCCAGCTGCTCCATCTGAAAAATACGTTTTCTGGAGCTCTGCAAAAAGTAGGCCTCCGTGGCGGCGATAACTTGCTTATTAGGCTCAAATTTCTTTCGGCGAGTCACTTTTAAGCTTGTAAACCAAAAGAAGTCACACGGGGCCAAATCTGGAGAATACGGTGGAAGGGGGAGCAGCATAATCCGATCAATTTGGCCGTGACGATGGCGGAGGTGTGCGCCGGTGTGTTGGGGCCGTTTTTTGCAACTCGGCGTCGAATCGGCCCAATAATTCGGCATAGTATAGCCCAGTGACCGTATTTCACACCTTGAGAATCACAGAAAACGTTTTATCTGTATGCAAAAGCAACAAGATACATATTAATAAGGAACTCTCGGAAACTATTTTACTATACCTACAAACATGCATTTCGGCAGGGAAGTAACTTATCGACAGGACATTTCAGCTAAGAACGGATTCTATCGCGGGGCTAGATTCAGGGACTAAAGTGCACTTGCAAGTTTTTTGAAATTGCTTGGAGTTTTCGAATATCTATAAATTGACAACGATGAGGTTCTTTTATGTAGTGCCACTTCGCTACGAGCACTTGTGTTACACCTCTCAAAGGGTGTACTTATAAGTATATACAGGGTGTTCCTTAATGATATGCGAATATTTAAGGGTATGAATCTACTTGAAAAATTATTGTTAGTTTGCGTTTTACACTATGGTCCAAAAATGTTTCCTTACAAAAACTCGGGGTGTTGAAGTTTTAGGGAAAAAATGGAAATTAATTAATATTTTCAGAACCGCTTCAGATATTTCACTGATATATATTTAGTACGTAATTAAAGTTAATAAAGTTGCATATTTTTCAACGCAAAAATAATTTTTAGCTTTAACATTGACGTGCGAACGGGTATTGACTTCGATATTTTTTAGGATAAAAATGGTACGCCAATGTTTTGCCAATGTCTTGCCAAATATAAATTATTTTGAGTAAAAAAAATAAAAACCGTTCTATTGTCCCAGAAAATTAATGTAGTAATTGAAGAATGGAATTTAGCAATAAATACCTAGTTGCTCTGGGATATGTTACTGGCTTTTGACATCTGACAAGTTTCTGTTATTCAAATGTGCTTGCCGTGACATCTTTTTCATTATTTAGTTTTTACAATCATGTTCATAATGGTGAATTATTCAAATGCAGAAATGGCGGAAATGCATTACGTATATGGCCTTGCCGACGGTAATGGTGAGCAAGCCAGATAGATTTATCACCAGAGATATCCCGATCGTGCTTTGCAAGATAGTCGAACCTTTTCTAATAGTCATCGTCGTCTTGCTGAAACTGGTTCTGTCAGCGCATTTCAGTGTAGCGGGTCGTAATTGTTTACAAACTGTTTATCCAAATCGTTGGATTGGCCGCGGTGGGCCCCAAGAATGGCCACCAAGGTCCCCAGACCTCAACAGTTTAGATTTATTTTTGTGGGGCTATCCTAAGACACTAGTGTACACAAGTCCCATTAACACTGTAGAGGAATTAAGAGAAAGAATAGTTGTAGCTTGTGATAGAATAAAAAACACTTCAGGGATATTTCAACAAGTGCGCAATTCCATGAGAAGGAGGGCGGAAGCATGCATACTAAGTGAAGGGGGCCATTTTCAATAATCTTTGTAATCATTTCGTTGGTTTTAATGTTATGTTTATGTTGTCAGTTGTTGTGGTTCATTACCCCTAATGTGTTTAATTTTTCCAATTAAATGAATAATAATTTTGCAAGTTAGACAATAGAACGGTTTCTATTTTTTTACTCAAAAATGGCGCATCGAAGGAAAGCAACTCAAGATAAATCATTTTTTTAAATTGAACGGGGAATTGAAAAATAATTTTTATTTGACAAAAAACCATTGGCGTACCATTTTTTCTTAAAAAATATCGAATTTCCGTACGCACGCCACTGTTAAAGTTACAAATTATTTTTACATTGAACAATATGCAACTTTATTAACTTTCACTACGTACTAAATATCAGTGTTTTGTAAGGAAACATTTTTGGACCATAGTTTATGAAGCAAACTGACATTAATTTTTCATGTAGATTCCCACTCTTAAATATTCGCATATCATTAAGGAACACTCTGTATATGTGTATACGAACCCTTCTGTTACTTTTTATGAGTTTTAACGTCCAGTGACGTTTCCCGAAACGTTTTTGTTAATTCCTCTCGGTTTCGAAGACGAGGCTGAAGGTCGTTCTGCCACTAGATCTGTTTCTGATGCGAACGCCCTAAACGGAGATATTATAGAAATACGCCACTCTCGTACTTTTTACATATTATACTTCAGCATTTATAATCTTTCTTCATCTTCTTTTCAGCGTGGAAGTGGTTATCCGTATCAGTGGACTTCAGAACTGGATTTGTTCGGTTTGACATGGACTGCCAGCCCAGCAGGTTTGACCACCTCGATCCAAATGGAAAAGAGGATAGCAGAATCACAATCCCTCAGGAAGCCTTGGTGTACTTCAGACAGGAACCGGGTAGAAAGAAAATATTTTTGGTTAGTATAATGAGCAATGTCAATTCACGGCAGGACAATTTTTCATTTTTAGAGACTACTTATTTTATTGGTGGTTTGTTAGACATGAAATCACGAAAATCCCGGAATCCAGGTCCAATAAATGGATTTTTGAGATTTTAATGGAATGCCTTTAAAATACTGTATATTAGAAATATTACCTATTCATTCTGTGAGCTTTTTCATTTTTTCAATCTTTTTCTACAGGGTGGGCCAAAAGAAGCTGACATATTTTACACTTTAATAACTTTTTTATTTAATAATATTTTTTAATGCAGTTTTTACAAAAATAAAATATATTTATTGAAGGTGATTTTCATATTAAGTATGAAAAATAATGTCGCGTAAGTGACGGCCATTTTCTCTTTCACACGCAACATTCCTTTCCAAGACATTGTCCATAACTGCTTCCAATGTTTCCCGATTTATGGCTCGAATTTCCATTATGATATTGTCCATAAGTTGTCTTAAGGTTCGAGGTTTATTGCGGTAAACTCTTTCTTTCAAATATCCCCATTGATAAGAATCTGGCGCGGTTAAATCAGGGGAACGTGGGGGATATTCAATTGCCGATCTTTTTGAAATCAGACGTTCTCCAAAGACGCCTCTTAGCAATGCCATTGTGGCTCCAGGTGTATGAGCTGTGGCTCCATCCTGTTGGAACCACATATCAGGTCTATTTTCAAGTGCTGGAATCAAAACCTCTCGCCAGTAACTGTCACCGCAGTTCCATCGTCATTTTGAAAGAAATAAGTCCCAATAATACCCTGGGTGGTAACACTACACCAAACTGTACATTTAATGGGGTGTAACTATCTCTCGTGTACAGCCCTTGGATTTTGCCTTCCCCAAATTCTCTCACTCATTATTTTTTTAAAAAAATTTCTTCCTCTCTAACAAATTGCTGAAAACGAATGGCATAATTTAGTCGTTGTGCATAATATTGTGGTCGTAAGTGCTGAACCATTTGAATTTTGTAAGGAAACATCCGCAAATATTTCAAAATTCTTCTGAGGGATGTCCTGAGTTGACCTTGTTCTGGTCGATGTTTCGGGATCCTCATGAACACTTTCCTCTACTCTCTTTATGTTTTCTCCAGTGAAAGCTAAACGTGGTCGTCCAGTTCAGGGAAGGTCCGATACAGAACTCTGCGTTTGAAAACGCCGAATAATGCTGTGGATAGCCCCAGTGGATGGGGCGTTTTGAACATTAAAAAATCTTCGATACTCTCTTGGTGTTCACAATCGAATGATTATGTTTATAGTAAAATTGTACGACTTCGGTTCTCTGGATTAGATTAAGTCTCTCCATTCTAAAATATCCAGAGCTCTACTTTGAAAATTTGTTAACTCGGGAAAAACTTATGAATTTTTAAAATCAGTAAGCAACTTTTGGCCCACCCTGTATGTATACGATTATTCACGCTCATTAAACTGAACAAAAAAGTTCATATGTATTTAACGGCATCCCAACTGAGATACAGGGTGTTCAATTCTTATAATATTGATATTTTTTATTACTTTTACTTCCTACTCCGCTTATAGTTTTTGGATTTTATATGACAATTACATCACCAAAGCCCAAGTCACTTATTTCCGTCGGTCTATCTGTCTGTCGGCTTGCCCGTCTGTCAGTCGGTCTGTTTGTCCGCTAATTCTTGGGCCACCTATAACCTGGAAAGTTCCGCTCGGATTTGGATGAAACTTCCATACAAGGTCACTACTACTATGCCAAGGATGAAAAAGCTTTGTAGTCTTTGAAAATGGAGATAAGTGTGAAAATCTGAAAAAAAAATCGTTCAGATTCCGTTATTCGACGTTTCAGAGGCTCCTGATCATTTTCAGAAAAAAATTTGTTGCTGATGAAATTCGGAAGTTGGGGATTGTGGGGGGTGGGGGAAGGTGTAGCTATATTTCACATATCATATATTTCCTCGTATATTTGTCTTTAAAACCTAAAATGATATATATATATATATATATATATATATATATATAACTTGAGACGTGGTCATTGTCGTCTAGACCAGTTAGTTGAAAAATTAAAGCTTCCGCCTTTTGTTGGGTACTTCGACAAAAATTTAAGCAAAGAGGACTCTTTATACTTTTTTATTCTCTCTAGCTTTCAATGGACTTTGCCATCATAATCAGGAGCTGCAATTACATTGATAACAGTAGCAACAATAATGTAAAATGAATTTAAATTGACTTAACTTACAGTAGTATGTGAGGATGTTGCTAATTGTTGTTTACGTTCAGGATGAGGGAAACACCCAGTAACATGGTGAAAGCTGGATAGATGGTACAATGGTCAAAATTATATAAAATACACACAACTGTGTGACAAGAACAAGTTAAAAACAGATTAAAAATTTTTTTACAACATGAAAGCATTACATCGTGAAGCCACTTGATGATTGCACAAAATGGTGGACATGGAATAATGAGTGAGATGGATTTTAATTAATGGACAATTAAATTAACAATTATTATTAAATCGTGAGGAGAAAATTATTAGAATTTGAGTAGAATGAAGTTTATTGGCGAAAAATTGGAGCACTTACATATCTCCCCAAATTTTGACTCTTCACAACCATAAATGTAATCTGTTTCTTGGTTTATTCCACCAATAAACTTCATTCCACTCAAATTCTAATAATTTTCTCCTCACGATTTAATAATAATTGTTAATTCAATTGCCCATTAATTAAAATACAGTTTATTCAACTGCCTCTGGTCGGTTTAACACATTCTGAAAATCACATCATCTGAAGTGATTTGGCAACGTAGCACACGCCCACAATTCGTTCCATCTTTCTACACAGACATGGACAACCTTCGGCTTTCTGTCAAAGGGTTCATCTCACTCATTATTCCATGTCCACCATTTTGTGCAATCATCAAGTGGCAATCATTTTACATTATTGTTGCTACTGTTATCAATGTAATTGCAGCTCCTGATGATGATGGCAAAGTCCATTGAAAGCTAGAGAGAATAAAAAAAGTATAAAGAGTCCTCTTTGCTTTCATTTTTGTCGAAGTACCCAACAAAAGGCGGAAGCTTTAATTTTTCACCTGTATATATATATATATATGTTCCCGATCCGCGTGCTCCTGCCATCTAAGCTCATCGCCCAGCGTACCGGTTCAACTGACTAATCTATCCGTACTGCATAAAACAATCACACGGAACGAATGAACTTCCTGCAGCGGTGCCACGGTGGGCGCTGCCGTGGGGATGTGGAAAGGGACAACGTTGCCAGATAGACAGTAACCACCGGTAAGGCAGGGACAATGTCTATGGGACTATTTTACTGATTTGATCCGTTTAATTTATCTGTTGTACATGTTCATAACTTACTTTTTTCTTAGAGAATTTAAATTGCGCTCAATTTAATCCTTTATCAACCTACTTGATGCCATTTTTTAATTAGACGAACTTCTGGCGCTCAATCCGAATTTATTATATCGAACTAAATTACTACTACTACTAGTAGTATTGAATTTTAACATTTATTTTCACGCCACTGGTTTCTTAGTGGGTATTTTCAAAGGACTTTAGAGCGAAATAAATCATCTTGCCTTGTGACAAACATCTTTAGGGTCAGCCGTTATATAAATAAAAAATCAACCGACTGCGAAACTTACCGGAATCAACTGGAATGTTTTAAACGTCCCTGTATTGCTCTGATTGGAAAAAAGTGTAGAAAATTAAATCAATTCCAGATGAAATAAACTTGGACACCCTATAACGAATCTAATCAGATCGATCAGCTGGTAGGATGCTACAAATAACCATAATTTTCCATAATGTTAATCGTGAAATAGCAGACATCAAAAATTATTTCTAACGCTTCTACGCCTCCATCTCAACACCATTATTATGTATTATTATCTGCCTTAGCTTTAACTATGAAACGAGAAAAAACTTAGAAATTTGGTATTATAATATTAAAATCTTCCTTTCTGCCGAACTGTTCTAATGAATATACTGTAAGTTGTAACGATTGTACCTGTTGATAATAATAAGGATAATACCGATCTTGTCGTATTGTCTTCTACACTTTACTATTAGAAACTTCAACTTGAGCTGCTATGGCTCTAGTACATATTGTTGGTTCGTTTTCGACCATTTCTAGAATGTCTTCCTCAATTTGTAACACTTCAGGTTGCGCAGGTCTTCCACGTGACCTCCTCGTTTTTTAAATATCCTGTGTCACGATGTCTAATGACTAAATTTACACACATCCGTGGGGCGCCGGATGATTTCTTATAGGAAACCCTTCTGCATACAACCTGCATGCTGCTGCTGCATTTTGTTGTCACTCTCCGTATGTTAGTATTATATCCACTAGCTCATTCTTTTCGTAAACATAGTCGAATTTTTCTCACAAAATAATCATACAAATAAAAGTATACGCACTATTAAAATACTGATACAACTGATCGAACCAAAGACTCGTACTCAAAACCATATAATAACACGAAAAGTTTGCCAAATTTAGATAAACGATAAGTGTAGGAAACAAAAAACGCTAAGATTTTACAGGACAGTGGTCGGGAATATCAAAAAATTTGCGTAATAACATTCTTATTTTTTAAAATTCTTAACCTTTTACCATTTCTTTTAATATGCAACTTTCATGTAGCTCTTAATTTTTATATCAACTCCTTTTGGCAAGTCCTACAAGCAGTTAGAATGAATTACTCAACTTTGAAAACACCCTGTATATAAGTATGGCATAGAATCCTGAATCTTGAATCGTGAATCTTCAATATTGACTCTTGAATTATGAATCACGAATCACGAATCTCGAATCTCGAATCTGGAATCTGGTATCTGGAATCTGGAATATGGAATCTGGGGTCTGGAATCTGGAATCTGGATTCTGGGTTCTTGGATCTTGAATCTTGAATCTCGAATCTCGAATCTCGAATCTCGAATCTTGAATCCTGAATCTTGAGTCTTGATTCATAAATCGTGAACCGTGAATCTTGAATCTTGAACCTTGAATTTTGAATCCTCAATCCTGAATCTTGAATCTTGGGTATTGGATACTGGATATTGGATATCGGATATCGGATCTTTGATCTTAGATCTTGGATGTTGGATCTTCGAACTTTTGCCTTAGATCTTGGATGTCGGATTTTGGATCATGGATATTGGATCTTCGATCTCGTATCTTCGATCTTGTATATTGGATTTTAGATCTTGGATCTTAGATCTTGGACTGGATCTTGGATCTTTAATCTTGGATCCTGGATCTTGGATATCGGATCTTGGATCTTCGATCTTGGATATTGAATCTTGAATCTTTAATCTTGAAGCGGTTATTGCGTTTTCTGACAAGTATCTTGAAAAGTGACATTTCGTCGGTTTTCTTGACATTTCGTAGTTTTTTTGTGACATAACGTAGATTTATCTACAAGATGTTAACTTAGCATAAGCTGTTGTACACTTGCTGTGAACTCGTTTTGTAGCTGTACGTGTTGCTTAAACGACAGCGAACAGCGATTATATCGAGCAAACGTGGAATGAACTAACCTACCTAGCCTGCAAGATGGCATTTCGTCGGTTTTTTACATTTTTTAGGTTGTTTACGGTACGGGTATTATGTTAAAAAAAATATAAAATGTCAAAAAAAACCTATAAGATGTCATCTTGCAGAATAGGTAGTTTTTAGAGCGCAAACAGTCCTTTCACGTTTGCTCACTAGGATCCTTGTGAACGTCCATCTGTGGAGGAATCACTCAACTAAACTACACGCATTGTTGGTTGCATATATTTCGCGATGCCGAATGGTCTGTGTCTGTAGTTTTTATATTTGAGAAGAAAGTTGCTTGAATAGCAAGATCGCATCTGGATCATTATGTGTATTGGTCTGCATGTGTATAAAATCAGTGATATTTGCTGTGTGAGAAAATTATTACTGAATATGCTGCTAATGAAGTATACCTATTACCTGTGCCCGACGGGTTATTTGTATGTGGTCTTTTCTGAAGACAGGTTATGTTGAAAGTTATAAATTACGAAAAAAATTGAGGAGAATTACGGGAAATCATCACCGCGCCCGCGTTGTGTGTAATTACTGTTAGCATGTATATGGCTTGTAATTCGACAGTCTACAGTGAATAGAATTGTTTCTTATCTCTCTCATTTTTGAAACTCAGCAAATTTGCATATGTAATTTCCAGAATGAATAAGAAAAACTGGAAGCGAAACTAATTTCTAACTTTGAATCTCAATTAAGAATATTTGAGACAAGAATCCAATGGAATTATCATCAACATATACAACTTAAAGCTTAGACTTCCAGTAATGTCATCTCTGAAGCATATTTTACATTAAATCCACATTACATCAGAGCCAAACATTTATAACCGAGGCCTCATGACGTTTAGGCAACACGTACAACTGAGTGCTAAGTGTAAAAAACAAAACAGTATTATGTCAAAAAAATTGATATAACATCACTTTTCAAGATACGTAATACCATGTTTTTAAACCTATAAAGCTTTTTCGTGCTCGGTATGGTATTTATAGAGGAACCAAGAATTATCGGATAGATGAACGACAAACAGACATACATTCGAAAAGAAACTATCTCTTTTACGAAACGTTTCAAGATTTAGTGTGGGATGTTTCACTTATTAATATAATAACTTTTGTTTCCAGGGTTCGGTTCAAGTAGCTAAAGTACTTCCATACGTAGTAGATGGACGACTGTGGTCCTGCCTGCAGATAGCAGAGAACTTGGCACCAGAGTTCAGAAAGCCTCTCCTGTAGAAACTGATTTAGAGGAACTTCTGCACTCATTTTGTGATATAATAAAGCCAACGAAATTGGGCGCGTGGTACATTAATTATTATTGTATAGTTTCGTAAATAAAACGTTATGACTATTTATTAATATACATAGAAGTATTGTATAATATGAATTTTTATTGCAGTTACTGTTTAACTGGATGAAAACAAATAAAACTGATAATGGCGTCAAGTTGGATCACTCTGTACCTCCCATGCAATTCTGGACAAATGGGAATTGTTTATGCATCATGCTTAGTATCTGCGTTAACTTTTTGCGCACTGTGTTTTTATTGCTTTCCGGCTCTGAAAATCCTCGTACCCTGGCGTAGGACCATAAAGTAGAATGATTATCAGTAAAAAACATAATTGGATAGAAACTAAAATAATGGATCTTGAATACGTATGTGAATTGCGTGTCTTACATTGTGCCAGGTTTACTATTGGTCAGCTGTAGAAAGCATACAGAGAAATACAAATATCTTTGACGTCGAAATGTGTACGAGAGAGAAGCGCGTGAAGTGCACAATACGTATGTTAGAAAGAGTGCGCCGATGGCAATGTGGCTAGCCGCTGCTGCGTCCGTGCGTCACTCGAACTGCTAGGCAACGTGGTGCCTCTATCTCTTGTATATGGATTTCTCTGTATAATGAATATGATCGGAGAAAAGGTATTGTGAGATTATTTTTTAAATAATCGAGGACAACATTCGTACGCCCTGATATTATTTGCTTGAGAGAGATTCTTCATTCCACAAGATATCGTCGTATTCGCAGAAAACAGATCAACGTATTTTCCTTATTTCAGACCTGAATAATTACCTCCGTCTTGTTGTTCTTCATCTGATTATTTATACTCAATAAATTTTATTGCTCTGGTAGAGACAATTGTTCCATCGCCGGGCAACATTGACTTCTTTTCAGCTATCTAGAATGACACCTCCATACCAAACACCGCTCCAAACTGTGACTCTACCAGGATGTAGTGGTTGTTGATGGATGGCACGAGCGTTCTCTAATGGCCAGATCCAATCTTCTTATTAACAAAACGGTTCATATTGAAGTGGGCTTCATCACTCATTTTCAGTTGTCGGTAAAAGTCGTTATTTTGGGTATTAACCTACAATATTGCATGACTGCATTGTCGGCGATTGTGATGGTCACTAAGCTGTAGTTCTTGGGTTAACTGAATTTTGTATGGCCGCAAATGCCGGTCTTTTTTTTAAATAGTGCATAATGACGTGTAAAGAATGAATATAGAGTTCTTGAGAACGATGTCTGGTAGACGTCTCAGGGCGCTGCACTACACTTTCACGAACTCTCTCGATATTTTCCGGAGTGCGAACAGTTCGAACACGGCCCTACCTTGGCAAGTCTTCAACTTCACCTTGTTGTTCAAATTTCCGCGCCAACTGACGAATGGTGTTGACACTGGGCACATTACTTCGACCGAAATCTTGTCGTAGCTTCCGAATCGTTGCAACAATCGACTCAATATTTACGTAAACCGTTTTAACAATACTGACGCGTTGTGGGACTATGTAGCGCTCCATGATGAATTGGACACATGTGCATTAAACAACTACTACGTCGCCACCTACTGAAATGCTGAAATTCTAAGCTTCATCCCGAGAGTATCAAAGTTCTTGATAAAGAAGAACACCTAGCAAAACGTTTATTCCTGGAAATGTCCCACATATTCATGAATGACAACTGTATGAATAAGAAGACAGATGTTAAGCAATTGAGCGTCATTTACTCATGTTTGCTAAACTGCGAAAAGTTGGAGCACGTACATATCTCACCAAATTTCGATTTTTCACAACCATAAATGGAATCTCTGTTTTGGTCTATTCCACCCTTTCCCTCCAAATTTTCCATTCCATTCAAATTTGAATAATTGGTTTTTTCTCATAATAAAATAATATTTGTTTAATTCAATTGTCCATCTCATCAACAATACAGTTTGTTCAACTGCCTCTGGTCTGCTAAAAAGTTCTTATTTAACATATCTTGATAAATAACACCATCTGAAGTGATATGGAAACATAGTACACACTTTACAAATTTTCGTTCCATCCATCGACACTGACATCACCAACTTTCTGTCACTTGTCAAATGTTTCATCCTACTTGTGATCCTGTGCCCGCCATCTTTTAACTTTTGTTTGAAATATTTTTAATCCGTTTCAATTTATTCCTGAGATACAGCTGTGTGTAGTTTATATTAATTTTGACGCATGTTAGTACCATGTATCCAGCATTCACCAAGTTACTGGTTGTTTCCCTAACTAAAACGTTAATAACATTTAGCAACAATCTCACATACGACTGTAAGTTAATTTAAAATCATTTTGCACTATAGTTGCTATTTTTTCTCAATGTTATTGCAGCTCCTCATGCAGATGGCAAAGTCCATTGAAATCTAGAGATTAACCTTCATAAACCCGTGGTCAGAAATTTACGTTAAATACCGAGTGGGGTGCAAATGTACCCCAACGATTTTCTGGCTTATTTAATTACTGTAATTAAAGATTTTCAAAAAATAAACACATTCTGATTATAAAAAATATATATTTTTACGTAAGTATGCTATAACATTGACAAACAAACACATTTGGAAAAAATAATTTGAAATGATTATAATATAAAGAAAGATAATTAAGAAGAAGATAAATATGTGATATTTTAAATAATAATTTAATTATCACACTTATTACAAACGGTTATATTTTTAGAATGTTCTGCACATACGTACTCGTACTGATTACACCGAATACAAAACTTTCGAGATTTCCTGTCTTTACTTCTGTCGCATAAAAAACATCGCTGCTGTCTCCGAATAGCGGGAGCAGGTGGTTCATTCCTTACAATATTTAATTCTGGCAAAATTGTTAATATGGATTGTTTTATATTGGAATGTAACGACTTGTCATTATGGTATCTACGAATTATATTCTTCTTAATTAATTCTTGGCCCAACTCCAACAGAAACATTCTTCTCCTATCTAAACGATTTTTTTTCCAATCTGGATTTTTCAACATCCATAGTTTAAAGGCGTTGATGCCACCAATATCCAGCAGATGAAAAAATATTACCATCGGCCATCGATTACTTTTTCTTTGAGTGGTAAATTCCTTTGCCAATTTATCTGTTGTATCTACTGCACCCTTAGTTTTGTTGTAGTGTAAAATGATGTCCGGTTTATAGTCACATTCCTCTCCACTTATTCTGTCATCGTTATGTTCTGTTGATAAAAGGATAACTGCCGCATTTTTCTTTGGTACGTAAGAAACTAATGTTTTATTTTCCATAAAAGCAAACATGCTTGAAAAATCTTTCTTGTATTTTGCTGGAAGTAGTTCTTTTGGAATATAAGGTTTATTTTTACGCAGTGTTCCACACAAGGTAATGTTTTTATCTAAGAGCTTATTGGCCAACTCGATACTGGTAAAAAAGTTATCAGTAGTTATCCCATATCCTGTAGATAAATGGTTTACCAGGTCTAACACTACCCTTTGACCTTGACCTTTCTCTGGTTTGTTTCCTTCTTTGCCTAAAATTTTAAAATCTATAATATCTGCATGTTCTAGGACATAGCTTACCTAAATAAATTTGCATATTCACTGTATACGCCAAACTACAATCAGCCAAGGCCCAAATTTTTAATCCATATTTGTCCGGCTTACTCTTCATGTAAACCCGAAAAGGAGTCCCGCCTCGGAACGGAACTAACTGCTCATCCACGCACAAGTGTTCAGATGGATTTAAAGATTTCTTGCAATTAGATACAAAAACATCAAAGACATCTCTGATTGCGGCAAATTTATCAGTGCGTTTTCTTTCTTCTCTTGTTTGAAAATTGTCGAATCTTAGAAAGCACATAATTTGTTGGAATCTGTTGCGAGACATAGTAGATGATACCAAAGGTCGACATAAAGTTGGGTCTTGGCTCCATAATACGCATATTGGCTCTTTAGCAGCATGCCAGGCTCCAAAAATAATAAGCAAACCAATAAATGCTTCCAGTTCCTCTTGCACAAAAGGAGAAAAAGCCGTCCCATTTCTTGCATAATATGATTCGGCTTTTCTATTCGTCTCCGATAAAATCACATTCATAATATCTTGTGAAAAAAATAGTTCAAAGGATTCTTTTATGCTGGAAAATTGGGAGCTATATCTCGTCAAACCTGTTGGACCAGATTGTATATTACATTTTCTTCTCTTTGTCCTCGCAGTAAGTGGAACTTTTGCCCACACACTACCATCTTTAGAAGTACAGGGTGGGGCAAAAGTCACGAAGGGATTTGAAAAATTAATAACTTTTTTAAATTTATTTTGTTTTCATTTTTTTTTTCAGGACCGTGTAAAATAAATCCTGGAGATTAATTATGGAGCGTTACAACCTCAATCAACGAACCAAACTTATAGAATTTTATTTTGAATATCACCATTCAATAATTCAAACTCAACGAGCATATCGTCGTCATTTCAATTTGCGGAATTCGCCCTCTGAATCAATGATTCGACGCTTAGTGGCACGATTTCAGCAACAAGGCACAGTTATGGATCTCCCACGAAGCGGAAGGCCACGTTCCGCAAGAAATGAAGGGAACATTCAACGCGTTCAGGAGAGTGTTCAGGAGAATCCGGAAACCTCAACCCGAAGACGTTCTGCTGAGCTGCAGATGTCTCAAAGGTCTTTACGCAGAATATTAAGAGGAAATTTACATCTGTTTCCATATAAAGTGCAGCTAGTGCAAGAACTAAAACCAGCAGATTTTCAAGAACGACTAACTTATGCAGTTCGCTTGCAAAGAATGGCTCGAGAAGATAATGAATTTATTCATTCTCTGATCATGAGCGATGAAGCCCATTTTCATTTGAATGGCTTCGTAAATAAGCAGAACTGCAGAATATGGGGTACCGAGAACCCAAGGGTGGTTCATCAAAGGCAATTACATCCGCTTAAATGTACAGTATGGTGCGCAGTTACGTCTCAACGAATTATTGGACCATTCTTCTTCGAAGACCACGATGGGAATGCTGTATCTGTAGATGGCGACCGATATCGTGATATGATTCAAAATTTCTTAAGACCAGCTCTTGCTGACAATCAAACGATGACTTTCCAACAAGATGGAGCCACTGCGCATACTGCTCGAGCCACTATGCACCTTCTAAGGCAGATTT